CAGGCCTATTTAGAGGAATGGCAGCACTGGCTTGACACATCGGTAGACCACCGCGAGTTATTGTAAAGGCCAGATATGCATTCAATCACTTCCAAAGGATGCTTAATGAAGTCGAATTCGTGGCGCGTCTCTAAGGCATTGATCAACGTAAAAGCATTAGCTTTTTATTTAAATTAGTCATAGTGTATTCCAAGGATAATGAGTGACCCGAGGAGTGTGACTAGATATCTCATGAGATAAAAAGAGAAAAATAACAGTGGAATGACAACACTCGAGAGAAACTCATGGATATATTTCTCGCGTTATCATCATTTTTCATTGTTTTTACCTTTACTACAATACTTTTTTTAATAAAACTAGTAGTGAACTAAATATTTGCTTATTTTGTTTTTTTAAAAGTCTTATCGTACAAAACCAATAAGTTGGATTAGCAAATACCAGCATTTGTGAGCAAAGTGGTCAGTTGGGTATAGCTGAGAAAGGATTGAAATAACAGTAGGTTCAGTCTGTGCTCTTTACAGGCTGATACAGAATATTCAGTACAGTGCTACCAATCATTTCTAGCCTTACACTACACTGCACTCGCTTTCTTTTCTGTACGATTTCTGTTTTCGTTTCGTTCTTCTTCTTGCTGCACTTTGAACTTGTGTTGCGAACGACCTCGGTTTGTCGAATTGTCTTTTTATGACGACAAAGTCCAAAACGACTCTCGCCGTTTAGCTTTCGTTTTTCGCCGAGCCGAAACACTAAATGAGTCTTTTAAAAAGGAATTTGTATCTTAATAGTTAGTCTACATTGCACTGATATCTCCTAATGTTTGTATATGCCTCTTGTTTCCATATTTTGAGAGCATGAGTGCTCGCCGTCAAAGCTAATATAGCGTGCTCTGTTCAGTTCTTTTTTTCTTTTTATCATTTTTCACACAGCATTCGAACATGCAAGAACGCGTCTAACCTTTTTAAGCAATAAACAATTTTTCTTATGATCAAGATAGATGCTAATCTATGAGACATATGTGGTTCACATGTGATCGAGGATGGTTTAACCTTCCGAGTTTAGACACACATTGCGATCTTTATTAACATACAGTGTAGCGAACAGTGGTGGTTTTTTGATAGCGTCCGGTAATTTTTGACAAACAGGATAGTTAAGTGAAAAACTTTATAGGCCTGTAGAAGAGGTTTTCCCCTAAAGAGCTGAGACCATATATAAGTTGCCTACTTACTTGAATACTTGAATGACCCGTTTTCAATGATTGTGCTGGTTCCAGCACAATTTCCATTTCTGGGAAACTTGCTTGTTAAACCATTGTGATTCCCTGGAATCCCGAGATCAGCCTGGCTAAAGTCGACCCCATATATAAGTTACCTTTAGATGGAATTCCTCTTTGCCTCAAAGCCTTTGAATTTAAAGAGCTTCTATTTTAAATAAAAAACTTAAACATAACTTGAAAGGTGCTGGTTTGAAGTTAAGAGCGCCGGTTGTTGCCGCACAGTAGGTATTGAAATCGTTGAGAAGTTCTCGGAGGCGCTCTGCATTGCATACGGGATCAATCCCAGCGCTCCAGGCTCACCAACCCTTCTACCCCTTACACGTTGGCCAATTGGTAACAGACTTGTTTAGGAGAATAAAAGTACTTCTTCGATACATTGGTAAGCCACCGAAAGCCATTTGTAAAAGCTAGATATGCATTCAATTACTTCCAATGAAACCGAATGCAAGACGCATCGCCTAGTTATTGATCAACACCAAAAGCCTTATCCTTATTTATCCTTTATGTATTGTAATCAGTACACACAGTCCTTTTTGTGTTAGCTAGAATAGAAACCGTTGCAATTTTATCCTTCTATCATAATGAGATTGTAATTGCTTCACATCCCACTAACCGCTTGCATTTTGCTTTTCTCTCCAATTGGGCTTGAATTTCGAACGGCGAAGTGACTAAAAAAGGAGAGTGTTGCCTAGTAGGACATTATGGTGCCCTTTAATACGTCTGTTAACGTACGCATTTTCGAATTTTAAAAATTTGCCTAGTAAGGATTAACTCCAAATGTCAAAAAATCATCAACCGTTGCCAAAGAGCCAGCCGGAACCTGCGCCTAATCTGTTGGAATAAAATTCTTTAGAGGAAAATCCTGTTTTCCGTTTTCTTCCCCGACATAACTTTTATTTCTTCCGAAGTGTGATGGAATATAATTGCACTCTCCCTACTTTTTGTTCGTCTTTTGGAAGCGTCTTACTGAACAATGATTTTTGTAGTTCTTTCACCCTCTTGCAAAGTACGAGACCAGTCTTCTGCACTTTCTTACTCAATTTCTTTCACTGTTCGTTTTTGGCCGCAACATAGCCTTTTGTGCAACTAGGTGGTGACCAGATACATTCTTACCATCAGCGTTTAAAAAAAGTCCAATCATTAATGGTTATAATAAGAGATTTCTTCTCGTTTGCAATGCGTTGTTTGCATTTTTCATTGTTCTTCTTCCACTTGTACTCAGTGACTATTTTGAGCAATATGCTACACTTCGCTCATTGGTAAATATCGCCATCAGGTCTGAGGATTGTTTCAAGATGAAAAACTGCGGTGTATAACCCGAGTTCATCTAAACCAGGGTCAGCTGCTCCGAGAATGAGGTGGATATTTCCGAACCCATCTAAGATAAGTCTATAGCAAAAATTTGTTCACGAAGAAACCTATTCGCAAGGAGGAGCTATTTCTCCGAGCAACAGTATTCAGTAAAGAGCGAATAATAGTACCCCAAAACGCCGTCTGATATCATCGAACTTGCAGAACAGGAATAGGAATAATACACGGCAGATACTTTAATGTTTATAAAAGATTGAAAATGTGCGAATTTCATGACCTAAATCGCTTATGTTCCTCTCAATGTCCGACTAATTCAAGTGTCAGTGAGTATCATTCGTCCTTGCTGCTGACGTCAGCTACTTAATAAGCTTCATTAGAACAAGGAACATGGAGCTAATCGGATTTTTGGTATGAAAGCTTTCTCCACTTCAATTTGTGTCAAGGTCGTTAAGGGTATCTATATCGAACTGCTGTGGCATACGTTAACTGTTTGTCGGGTTTTGATGCAGTATAGAACTCTTTTTAGACTTAATGACTGGGTCATTAGATGTGCTTCACATTTTCATTCATGTCGGTGATCTTTGTCGCAATCATATCAGTAGATCAGTAGAACACCGAGGAAACCTGCAACGAGACCAACTGTGTCAACGTTTTGTAATAACTTTAAATGAATGTGCCTTTAAACTAAGTAGGTTCATATTACGGATTCTTCACGAAGAAATGCGCTTCTTCATTAAACTCAGATAAATTCGTCAAATTCAAGTAAAATTAAAATTCAATTTCAAGTAAACAGCTCGTTAAAATTCCCTTTCCACTTTTCTCTCTTTTTTCTCTGCTCACTCCCTTTCTTTCCCTCCTCTTTTTTCTCTTTCTCTGCTTTTCTCACTCTGTTTTCCTCTCTCTAAATGACAATGCGTTTTAAAGTATTCAAATTTTCCATGGCTAATTCACTCTTACTAATTAAAGAAACCTGTTTTTGATTGCTTGACCTTTTGCTCGAACTTGATTCTTAAGCAATGCATTGCTAAGCTTATCAGATGAATTCAAAAGAAGTTTTTCATTGTAAGCTAGAGAAGCTATCGTATGATCGTTGGGTAAAAGCGCAACAAAATAGGAATAATTGAAGTATGAGAAACAAATTCTTTACTCCAAGAAGAAACGTAGATGATGAAATCCAGAGCTGTTGATGGTGTGATGCTAAAAGTGGACGATTTGCTCTCATACAAAGTGAAGAATATTATTGTAGAGCTTTGGATAACCTGTTGATAACACCAGTCTCCACAGAACTCAACGAATCTACTGAAATACGATAGTGGATATGTTTATTTATATGAGCTTATAAACTTGAGCTGTTGAGCTGATGCGATATTAGTAAAAGTTTTCGTTGTTGTTGTCGTGGTGTTGTTGGTCGAGTGGGACTCCCACAACGGCACGGCTCTAAGAAAGACGAAATCGCCGAGACGTCAGACATCGACCAACAACACCACCAACAGCAATGACAACGACAACAACAACAACTGCAGCGAGAACTTTCACCAACCTCGCCTCAGCTCAACAAGACCTGTTTATAGGACCACATAAATAAACATATTAACGATCTATGCCGAGGTTTATTGAAAGTCGGTCCTTTGAAATACCATAGTTTTCTACCCACTGGAGTCGCGAAACCCCTTTTTAGGTGAGGAGTGGTAACCTTCACCGCAATTGTGTTTTATTATCGTCAAATAGATGAAATAGAAAAATAACTTGGCGTGTTTTCTATGGGGCGTTGAAAACCCGATTTCAGAACACAGTAATGACCTTCACGAAACGTGATTTTAGAATTCAACAAGTATTCCGACAGTGCCCTTTAGAATGCGATGGGTGGATCTCTTTTCAACAGTCAGGTTTAGTAGTGCTTGTGATTCACTAGATGCATTCATGTGATAACCGTTTTACGGTGAATGCACCCGTCTCATAACCTCTTTGAAGTGCCTTCATAGATTTATTGATGACAAAGTGTTGCGAGAACCAGAGATGATATTCTTTAGATTCTCTTCAGAATCTAAAATTGCAAGCCAATCCTGAATCCTACTGGCCTACTATGTCCTGCCTTTAGTAAAAAGCCTTCCAGTTCTGTCTCTGTTTTCTTTATCTGATGTGTTTCTGTTTCTGTTTGTTTCGTTGCACGGTAAAATTCCAAGAACTTCAACAATAGTGTATGGACGCTGGTTATAGGGCGGTAGACGACTAGATGACATTTACAACAAGCTGGTTGTGTGATTGTTACCCGAATAATCAAGTGGCAAAGATTTTTTAAGACTTTTTTCCTTTTGGAATTTAAACATCTGCCCGTTGCTTATCAGATAGCTTTGTCGAGTAGAATCGTCGCGATATGTCGTGAATATGGCAGATTTCTCATTTCCTTCATTTTCAGATGGGACTGGTTGCTATTACATTAATCGTGGTTGTGTGTATGTGGATTTCGAATTACATCTATAAGAGGGCAAAATACATTTTTGAGAGGATATCAGTATTCCAAGGTCCAGAAGCATTACCAGTAATCGGGAACTTGATTCAGTTCCATTTTAAACCTGAAGGTAGGTTATGAGACGACATATGTGCGATACTTCCAGAACACTTGGTCTATTTACTTTCAACAACAAAACACAGCGGTTGGTTACTACACGCTCACAAATCGGCATGAACACTTGCATAATGCTCAGTATGCCATTAACTTTCATAACAGAATAAGAATAAAGATAGATGCTTCTGCATTGATCAATTCTTGTGGGGTGCAAAACGCATTCCACTTCGCCAAGCATCGTTAGAATGACTAAATGAATATTTCGCCCACGCCATGACTTTCAGAGGTTCACCGAAAGCGCCTTTAGCCACTCTACTACACGTGCCCTTTCATGTGAAAGTATGTAAAAGTAAATATATATACATATTGCTAAATAACATTTCTCCCAACGGTTTACCAATGCTAGGAGGTGTTTCTGGATGATGAGCTGCGGTGTACAGCGGGGGATTCATTTCCCCAGCAAGGCCTCCTAAGCTGAGAAGCAGACCGGCGCTTCCACAAGAAAGCGCAGCTACGAGTAAACTAACACCAGGATCCACCACTATCTTGGTGTCAAACTAGTGGCATGGTGGCAAACCTCCCTCTGACCGAAAAGACCGGCGACTGCCTGTTGGTGGTTACGACCTGGGACGGACTTCGGCTTGGCTGACCTCAGGAGTCCAGGAAACCAGAATGGGTAAACCAGCAAAACTCCGGAAAATAGAGATTATGCTGGGGCCCGCACAACCAGTGAGGACGAGCAGTTCAAGTATCCAAGTGATTGACACCTAGTATAATATGTAATATAATGGCACGTATGGTGTACTATGTAAAGTCATAAAAAATACACAATTATAGGAGAAAGAAAGGAAAATATTCCACTGTTAAATGTTTCAGTAAGATTTGTTTTTAACATCATTTTGCGTTTTTAAGTTTATTTTGCACTTAAAACAGTCCATTTGCATTCCTTGCAAAATAAACTAAGCTGGGTGGTCCGGTCCTATTTTGTACATTTTACTTTCAGTAGCGAAAAATGGAAACAGTGAAATCTTTGCATGAAAGCCTTGGTGCTTTTCGAACAGTGCTTCAAACTTGTAGGGCTTGTCAATAAATACAGCCTCACAATCACTAAAATTTCTATCCATTAAATTCTTTCCAAGTTAGAAAGATAAAAAGATTTTTTAAGTAGCTTGAAGACCGTGAAAATGTGCATCATTTCAGAATTCTTCGAACAAGCTCAAGGTCTGTCTTACATGTTACGAAGTCGCCAGGAGCGCCTTTGTAGAATTTGGTTCGGACGTGAGTTATATTGAAATATGAAATCTTCCGATTGTAAAACACTGGCGAATCAAGAGCTTATTAATTACCATGGTATAATATTAAGCAAAAGAAACGGCATAGTAGATTCACAACATTACTGAAGTATACGAAACGTACTTAGAAGCCAGGAACTACCATGTCTCCCTTCTGGAATAGCTGTCATTCGGCTGATTGTTCCGTAGAAGAAAAACTGGTACATCTGCCGTGTATTTTTCCGTACACCTTCTGTTGAAACCGTGCTGTGCTTGAGCCACAGTATCAGTTGAAACGAAGTGGAAAATGATTCGTCGCTTTCCTTGCCCCGAAATTACACTCGTATATGACAAAAAAAATCTGCAAAAAATTACTGGGGAAATTAATGCAATGAGAATCACAAGTGTATTCTTTAGTCTTCAAAAACGTTCTAGACGATTTTCTTCCGATCTAACTCTATGAAAAAACGATTAGATAAATTTTCCAGCAATGCCTTTCGTTTTGATGTACGGTCCGCAGGAATGCGAAGCGGTTTTAGGCAGCAACAAAATGTTACACAAACCAGTACAGTACAGTTTCCTTTCACCTTGGATTGGAGAAGGCCTTCTAGTAAGGTGAGTATGGTAGACAAAAAAATCATGCTTTTATCTTCAGCCATCCATTTTTCTTGAATTAGTTGACATCACTCGCATAGAGTGTGCACTTCGTTCAAGCTGGTCTCTAATTATAATAGGCAATAAGTATGATAAAAGGCAAAGGATAAAGCTTTCGATGTTGATCAATCCCTGAGGGATGCGCCATGCATTCGACTTCATTAAGTATCGTTGGAGGGGATTGAATTCATAGCTGCCCTTTAAAATGACTCCAGGGCTGCTATCCTCCCAGACAAGTCTACTACCAATTTGCGACCTCGAAGAGAGAAGGCTTGGTGGGCCATAGGAGCGGGGATCGATTCATTGTGTGTGTTGCAGGGCACCTCTGACGCAGTGGTCAGAGGTGCACCTTGATAACTATGGTAGCTTTATAGTATCAGAGCAGCAACGGAAAACTATGTATTTTGAAGATCTTATTCTTTGACGATTTTTCAGAAAGAATTTTCTATTACCAATATGCCGACGAGTGATTCTCCATTTCTAAGTTGCCTGTTGGGACGCGTGTGACCTCTATAGGGGTCATTTCCTTCCCCGTGGGTTATTCTGATAAATCGAACTGTTTCCTACAATTTACTTTTTCTTCGAGAAGCAAACAAGAAGTTGATATTGGAGAATTTATTAGCATACAATAGCTTAGCTTCGGCGGTTTCACCTTCTTCAGAGTATGGACTGGTCAAACTGACATGCTGTCTACTCGGCCGAACACTTTCATGACCCTAGCAGATAAGAGTTAAAATATAAATTTGCACTCGCATAATAAACAGCTTCATTTAAGCAACCACCGTTCCATTCTTTGCAAGAATTTCAATTAATTGTTGTAGCGCAGCTGCACAGAGTAATACATGGGCAAATAATGTGCCAGGCTCAGGTCAGAGAATCAGCATGAGCTATGGCGCTAGCACACGCGTGTTCACAGGTCACTCCTCGCGGTTCAGTTTTGGATTTTTGGCTCTTATCCAAAACAGTTTGAGAGTGCAACGCGTTGATTTGGATTCCTGTGCGAGGATAGTGACTTTTAATCAAAATCTTTTCCGATATCTCTTTGTGTTCTATGCGATCCTTGTAGAGTATTTGGTTTAAATTTAAACCATCAATCCAAAACCTCTCACGACGTAACGATGAATTACAAGAATTAAAAAATGAATGGCACGAAGGGTTGCCTTGCGATCACGCGTGACCTCGCGCAATAGCTCTGATTCTGTGGTCTAAGCCTGGCACATTCCTCGGCCATGTATTACTCTATGCAGCTGCTCTCCATAAATTAATTGGAATTCTTGCAAAGAATAGAACGGGGGTTGCTTAAATAAAGCTGTTTATTATGCGAATGCAAATTTATATTTTAGGTTTTATCTGCTAGGGTCATGAAAGTGTTCGGCCGAGTAGACAGCATGTCAGTTTGACCAATCCGTAGTCTGAAGAAGGTGAAACTGCCGAAGCTAAGCTATTGTATGCTAATAAATTCTACAATATCAACCTGTTGTTTATTTATCGAAGAAAAACAATGAATGATCAATCGATACCGAGGTTACTAGAAAGTCGGTTTTGGGAATTGCTACATGTCTTCTTATAATTTCAAAAACTTACTCTCCTTTAACGTCGGAAGAACTAATCGATATGTATTCTTCATTGGTAAGCTAATACGAGGTTGATTGAAACAACTTGTTAATCGCTAGGCAAGTCCGATCTCGAAACCCGAAGAAATCGAGAGCATGATTTAGTATGGGGCAATATGTTGAACCAATCACTTTTCATAAGCCAACCACTACTCGTGAATTCTAGGGTACCTTTTACCGCCTCTGCTTTGCTGCACACAATCTTTGTCTATCAATGTTAGAATTAAAAGCAATGGATTAACCTGGACTAAGGTAGAATTCGACCGCAGTTAAAATAATTGACTTTAAAGAAACCTGGCGTAATGTTACTATTTTGTATCAAACCATTGTGATTTCGACTACAGTCTAAGCTTAATAGAGTTCATTGCCGACTTGGGATCCCCAGATCGGCCTCGTTGACGGGTGATTGCTCTTGCCATTGATTGATAGAAACTACCTGATAGACGGGCGAAGCAAAAAACCCGCATGGTGTGGTGGTAAATGTATTGGCCACTGGAAAGTAATTGCGCGTTCATTTTCCACCGGCAACACCTGCGGACCGGAGTTTTGCAAATATCTTAGCATCATTGCTGTTGTATTTCGCATTATACCCTGCCGTAAAAAATGTGGTTGTTCGAATTTTTTGTAACTCAGAGAAACTGGGTAAGTTTCCTATCAATGAGGCACTGCAAAAATTCTTCTAGCAAGTGAAAGAGCGCAAATTTTAAAAAGTCGGTGAAAGGAGATGGTGGTGAATAGGTGGCCGTGCAGTTGTCAATGTGTTATGAGATTCCTCTATTACAGCTTCGTGTGAAGAAACGGCACCAAATTCTATCAATCAACAACAATATAAAAAGCCAAAGTATGTCTAGTCAACGAAGACTCCCCTCGATACTGTACGAAACACCATTCTTTGACAACTTGTCACTCAGCTGATGATAAAAACCTTTTTTTCCCTTTTCGTGGTCATTGCGTTAAATGTCACCGTTCATCGATTGTATACCGACGTTTGGTTCGAAGTTTAACGTTTCAGATTCCTTTCAGTTACAGTGTAACGTTAAGTTTTTGCCAAAAAATGTTATTCGTCCCAAAATGTGCTACAACGCAAAAGCACACTTCCATGCTAGAGCCTTTGCTCTACAAGTATGATTGCATAAAGTCACATAGTTTCAGTAAACCCGACAAATGGCGTTCACGACGGAAACTCTTAACGCCCACATTCCACTACGAAATTCTTAAAGATTTTGTCGAGGTATGACATTTTGGACTTTTTGGTTTCGAAAAATACCGCAAATAATTTGACTGTTGATTCCTATAGTTATTACATGGACGAACTGATGAAACAGTATGAAGTGCTGAGATATTTGCAAAACTCCGGACCACAGGTGTATGCAGTGGGGAACGAACACGCGCTGTTGTCCTTACCGGGGAGCAGCGCACTTCACCACTACACCATCCGGGACTGCATACATCTGAGGTCCGGAGTTTTGCAAATATCTCAGCACTTCATACGAGTCATATTTTACAACATACCCTGCCATTAAGAAGAAAAAGGCAGTAAATAAAAGAGTTAAGATGATGAAACAGTGTCAACAATCAATATGTATGATTTACACAGTGTTGCTTATCTTTGTTGCTGAGGTAAACCGAAAAGCTCAGAACTTTTACGACTTAGATAAAGACAACGTGATGGCTTCCAAATTTTTGGGTGATCTTTCTCTCAACCTTTATAAACCGCCAAGTTCCGCATATTCGCTGTCGTTTTCGTATTGCTTAACTTGCTAGATGTGCCGATTGGGGTACCTTCGATGTCCTACGACATAGCTATATTGGATGCTATTAAATATATAAGCACTGAATTGATCCAAAAAGACCACATGAGCAGTGTAAAGCACAATGAGGCGCCTTTTTTTTGTTTCCCAAGACCGACTTTCTGTTAACCTCGGCATTAATTGATAACTAAATGTTTTTTTTCTTCAATAAGCAGACACGAGGTTGTTAATATAGAATTTATTAGAATAGAATAGCTGACGTTTCGGCGGTTTCGCCTTCTTCAGAGCCTGGAAAGGTTAAATTGAGATATGATCTACTCAGCCAAACACTTTCATAACCCCAGCAGATAAAACTTAACAAATAAATTTGTATTCGCATAAGAAACAGCTCCATTCAAACACCTACCGTTTATTTGTTGGAAGTATTTAAGTTAGTTGATGGATAGCAGCTGCACAGAGTAATACATGGGCGATAACTGTGTCTGTGTCAGGTCATTGGATTAGCCTGAGGTATGGCGCCAGGTCACGCGTGATGGCAAGACACTCCTTGCGGTTCATTTTTGAATTTTTGGCATTGATCCAAAACGCTTCAAGAGTTTTACGCGCTGTTGTTTTCGATTTCTGCATGAGGATAGTGACTCCTACTTCAAAGTGTTCTCCGTTGCGTTCCTGCATCCTATGCGCGCCTAGTGGAGTATTTCGTTTTAATTTAGTACCGACTAGGTGTTCTTTTATGCGGACGCAGAGCGGTCTGCCCGTCCCGCCAACATATTCGTACCCGCACGCTTTACAAGAGATCAAGTAGACTGTACCCGAACTCATGAAATCACCGTCTCTACCGTTAGGACAGATTGTGCAGTTTTTCGTTATACATAGACGGTCATTTAGGCGGTTGCGAACTGGCTGGCGTCGTAGAGTGTCCGATAGTATTTCTATCACTCTTACGGAATTCTCTAGATCGGCCCTTATTAAGCAACGTTTTATAGCTGCATTTGTTCCGTTTGAAATTTAGGGAAACAGGAACGGAGTCTTGTTTTCGCTAGAATTATCGCTCTGGGCGTGGGATTTCCTCGATGCCTATGCCAAGAAGCTATAGTTTCGTAACCATTTGAAATGGCTATTTGTCGCGCCAGTTTCGAGGATTCTTCCTTCTGCTCTCTTCCTGCGCACACGCTGGAGGCGGTTCGAAACATATTTCTTATAAGCGCCCTTTTAGTGTGTGAGGGGTGAGAGGAGCGGTAATGAACCACTACATTCTTACTGCTTGGCTTTCGATACCATTTTGTGTTGCAGCCGTTCTCGGCTAGGTTAATTTGAAGGTTTAGAAATGGAAGCCAGTTTTTTTTCGGTTTCTCACGGGTGAATTTTATGTACTCTGACTGTTCATTCAATAACTTAAAGCATTTGTCCATCTCCTCTTCTGTGGAGCAGATGACAAAACAATCACCTATATACCTACAGTGTAGTAATGGCGTGAGATCGATTACTGGTGCTTCCACTTTAGACTTAAAGGCAACGGCAAAGGTTGGTGCCAGACGCTGCCCCATTGCCAACCCTCTAATTTGCGCGTAATATTTCTCGGACCATCTGAAGATCGAGCAGTTTAAACAGACCTTGAAAAGAACCATAAGCTGCTGAATCAAAAAACCATACATGTTAACTGCCCCCTCGTGTTGCTCAAGAAGCTCGCGGATGGGTTGCATTGCGTAGTCGTTCGACACGTTAGTGTAAAGGGCGGTAACGTCGAACGACTCCATAACGTACGCGCTTCAGAATAACAGGTTTATATACTGTCCAATATCACGCGTGATAACAAGGCATTCTTCCCTGCGGTTCATTTTCGGTTTCTTGGAATTTATCCAGAATGCCTCTAGAGTTTGGCGCGCTTGTGTTCTCGATTCTTGCGCGAGGATCGTAACCCTTACTTCAAAATCTTCTCCGTTATGTTTCTGCGTGCTATGCATACCTAGTGGAGTACTTGGCTTATGTTTGCCGACTAGGTGTTCTTTTATACGTACGCAGAGTGGTCTACCCGTTTCGCCAACGTATTCGTCCTCGCACGCTTTACAAGAGATCAGATAGACTGTACCCGAACTCATTCAGTCACCGTCTCTACCATTGGGACAAATTATGCAATTTTGCGTTGCACATAGGAGGTGGTATAGGCGGTTACGAACTAGCTGGCGCCTTAGATTACTTGGTGGTATTTCGATTAACGTTACCGAATTCTCTAGACTGGCCCTTCTTAAACAGCGTTTTGTAGCTACACTTACTTCGTTTGAAATGAAGGGCAGTATAAACGAGACCTTGTTGTCGCTAGAGTTATCGTTGGGGTACCTGTGATTTCCTCTACACCTATCTGGAGGTACGGTTTCGTAGCCATTAAAAATGGCTATTTGTCGCGCCAAGTTCCGGGACTCCTCTCTCTGTTGTCTCTCTGTGCACACGCTGGTAGCTGTTCGATACATGTTTCTCACAAGCGCCCTTTTCGTGTGAGAGGGATGAGAGGAGAGGTAATGAACTAGGATGTCTTTACTACTTGGCTTTCGATACCACTTCGTAATGTATCCGTTTTCTGATAGGCTAATTTGCACGTTCAGAAATGGAAGCCAGTCTTCTTTTGGTTTCTCTCGGGTGAATTTAATATACTATGACTGTGTGTTCAACAACTCGAAACATCTGTCCATTTCTTCTTGCGTTGAACAAATGACCAAGCAGTCATCTATATATCTACAGTAGAGTAACGAACCGAGGTCGATTACTGGCGCTTCCACCTTAGACATGAATGCAATGGCAAGGCTTGGTGCCAGTCGCTGTCCCATTGCCAGCCCTCTTATTCGTGCGTAATACCTCCCGGACCATCTGAAAAGTGAGCAGTTTAGGCACTCCTTTAAGAGTGTCATCAACTGCTTAATCGAGAAGCCGTACATGTTTACTGCTCCTTCGTGTTGTATAAGGAGATCGTTTATGGCTTGCATTGCGGAGTCATTCGACACGTTCGTATAGAGGGCAGTGACGTCGAAGGACTCCACCACGTACGCGCTGTTGGGTCGCGCGATACGTAGACGGTCCAGGAACATTTGCGTGTTCGTTAGATGAGCTGGAATGTACTTCAACAACTGAGTAAGTATTAGGGTTATTAACCACGTTGTTCTATCTGTTGGCCCGTCCACGCAGCTAATGATAGGTCTAACCTTAAATAACGATGGTTCGGTAGACACGAGATCATCATTGGTTACTAACTTATGGGTTTTGATAAGTAAGTACAGGACGGGACATGTTGGTAAGTCAATTTTGAGATGAGAAATAACTGATGGTTTTAACCCGGCCGCTCTTGCCACTTTAACCCATTCGCTGTTTAACTTTCGGTATTGACTTTTAAATTCCTTCTCAGACGACTGACGGTAAAGGGAAGCATCTTCAAGGTGCTCTTCCATTATCTCAACATCTAACTGATGGAGAATTACAACGAACTCTCCACCCTTACACTAACCGATAGTCTTATGTTTTTTGATCTTATCAGCTCTCGTACCTCCCGCATACCACGTTTTTGTATTTCAGTGAGGTTGGAGCAGTATCCTTTAGCGCGATAGTGATTAAGGACTTTGAAAGTTTCATTCGTAAACATCCGAAATTTAACATCGACTTCATTAATGGGCTCTTGTTGTCTAAAGAACGGTTGAGGAAATGGTGGTACTGGTATTGCCCCTACTCTTCGTTGTTCGCGCCTATTTTGCGCTTCATCCCTAGCTTTTTTGCGGAGTCTATCTTGAAGTTCATGTAAACTACATGCGACTCTACGCAAGGTTACCTTAGAAATGGGTTCAGATGATGAGAAACTCGGTCCCAATTCTAATAACGAGCGCGCACCGTCAGAGAGGGTTATGCCTCCTAGCACCCTCAACCTTGAATTTCTTTGCACATTATTTATCTTACTGTGAATCGTTTGATCTTCGTTGGCGGTGTTTCTGTATGCTCTTGAAGCCGTGTTATGCGATTTACTCAAAAGGTCTTCGAATTTTCTCCGCAAAGCTACTTTAGCATTAGACCTAATAGAGTTGCAAATCAACACTGACCCACCCACTATTTTCCTCCAGAGGCGGTCCTCCAAATACTGAGCACAATAGTTTTCTTTCTTCTCGCACTTCCACTTAGCGAACATCTGGTTTTGTTTGCTTCGTAGACAGGTGCGCACTACTTGCAATTCGATGTCCAGTACTCGGTGGTCATCCTCTGGTAGTCCGCATACTTCGTGTAGTCGTTTTCTTTTTATGAATTTTGGAACGACTTGGTGTTTTATGCAGCGGCGGAGAAAGTGTATTGACTGTCGAGCTAAGACGATCTTTTGTCTTAGTGACAGTGCTCCTTTTGCAAGTCGGAAATATCTTGCTGGTACATCTTGTAGTAACTCCCAAGTCCGACTTTCTATTAATCTCGGCATTGATTGAATATATCTTTCTACTTCTGTTCAGCAAGCACGAGGTGCTATTTTATTTCTTTATTTACGCACAAACTGACGTTTCGGCGGATTTCGCCTTCCTCAGAGCCTGGAAGAGTCAAGTTGACAGCAATCCACTCGGCTACTGAGACTCCAATTGTTTTTTGTTTATTTCCGTCTATTTCCAAATGTTACAACACCACGGAGGCCTTTGACCCATCCGTAGTCAGTGAGTTGAACGATGATTTGCCTATGGAGGTTATTACTCCGACATTTCACTCAGCTTTATTAGCCGCCATAAATAAATCACAAGTTTTATCTCGTAGTCAACATTCCCCTCCAATAAATAAAAAAAAGTTCTACACCAAACTTTCACTTTAATGGTAACGACCATAGATTATTGGGTAATGCTTAGCACTTATTAGTTTATGTGACTTATCTTAAACTATTGCGCATATTTTTCCGCTGACGCTAAAGCTTGATGCTCTTGGTAGATAACACCATAACTTACTGCTTAGATTAGACCGGTCGTCTTCAAGTGTATCTGCCTTTCTTTTATGCAAATTTTTGTCATGCATGCGTCTTCTGCCAGTTTCGATTCGGCCGTAGTGATACTAAAAACTTGAGACTGAGACTTGTTCTTCATGATAAATGTCGTTGAAAGCCGATAGAATTGATAGTTTGTGAAAACCTGAGATAGCTCTGCTAAGGCGCTGTTGGGTTTTCTTCATTGGTAAAAACTTAGTTGACCATGGTGAAATTCAACCAAAAACCATACGCGTATCGCGCGCCATCTCTGCTTAATGCACTATTCAAGCCCGTTTTACTAAATCGTGTGACAATGAGATTCACTTTATGTGCGATGTTCACGATGATCCGAGTCGGTGGTCTACAGCTGTTCGTCATCTCCACGTGGCGTCTTCGTATTCCTATCGAGACAGATCTTCTTCAGCGGCCACCACACTATAAACCGATCGTTCATTTCGGTTCACGTCATGATTAGCAAATTCACGCGTAAGAGAGCCAATACCAATGTCTTCAAATTCTTGGTTAGCATCCTTAGCTTTTTAAGTGAGTTTGATGAATAAGCCCTGGAACTGTGCGCATTCAGACTAGGTAACACATGAATATGATTCAAGTCTTGACCCAAGTCAAGGTCTAAGCGTTTTTTTAACTCACACATAAGACATCTAGAGCATTAAATCGTCTATGTTTTTATACTGATTTAGGTCTACAATCGACACGGAAGGACGCTTCTAGGAAAGTTCCTGAAGATTGCCGATCATGGCCAATACGAAGACATTTTTCATACTGTCACCTTGTGTACACTAGACGTTATCTGCGAGGCCGCCCTAGGCATCTGTATCGATGCGCAGAAAAATCCGCATTCACCGTACTTAGAAGCTGTTTTCAGGTACGGTTCGCACAGCGTTACCAAAATACATTTGGAAAAGTATAACTGAATATTATTTAAATACAATGAATAGTAATGTTTAATATTGAACTGAATGTTCGATTATTGAGGATGAAAGTCATCGTCCAACAGCGGCAAGTGAAACCTCAATATTATCCGGAGTTCCTCTTCAACCTTATAGGTGATGGAAAAGAACAAGCGCGATGTGTAAAGATTCTACATGAGTTCACCGGAAATGTATGAATATTTTTTAGTATTGTATTTATGTCGCTTGGTTTCTTTAGCCGACTTTTCTTCACTGGTTTATTCCCTTCTTCCGTCACACCACTAGTCTTGATTGATGTTTTTGTTGTTGAACTGTGGGAACAAGTTGGGTGTGGCAAAGAATTGAGAACCGATTGGCTGAACTTGCTATTGTTCTACGTACTTCGTTTGTTTTCCACTGGTAACCAGGCTAACTTGATTAGCAGGGACAGATTTTCCTGAGGAACAAAATTATAACTTATGATTATATCATCGTTTTAAAAATTAGTTATCACGTGGAGAAAATTATGAGCTCCCCAACGGTTTGCCGCCTTATCGTGGTTGGGAGGTGTTCCTGGGTGGAGGACTGCGATGTACAGCGGGGATTCATCCCCTGGCAGGGTCTCCCAAACTGTGAAGGATTCCGGCGTTTCCATCAGGAAGCCTAGCTGAGAGTGAACCAATACCAGGACCCACCACCGTCCTGTCCTGGTACCAAAGTCGCATGGTGGTAAATTTTCCTCTGATCCACAAAGGCTGCGACTGCCCGTGGTGGTGAAGGTTTGGGGCAGACTTTGGCCAGGCCGACCTCGGGACTCCAGGGAACTATAATGGCTTAACCAGCAAATCTCCGAAAAATGGAGATTACGCTCGGGCCCACACAACCAGTGAGCACGGGCCATTGAAGCATCAAGAAAGTAAATTATGATCTACTTTTGCATTATTTCAATACATCTACGAAAACCACAGTCTACCTAGCTCTCCTTTCCTATTCCCTCTCCTTTCGTCTCTCTGACTCTCTCCTCTTCTCTGTCTCCTCTAATGTTTCTCCTCACTTTGCCACTGTCTCTTTCTCTTAATCGCTTAAATTTACGGCTAATTTTTTTATTACAAAAAAATCCCTTAGCAACAGAAGCATTAAATTGCTTATCACTAACTACTGCTTATCATTTTCTTTCAGCATATACATCGAATGGTCACGACTTCTTATCAAAATCAGAAGCTCACAACTCCCTCCACCCCTAGATCCCAACATTTCTTCCATTTATTTCATTTTCATGCATCTCTATTCACAAAAGTGACCCGATTGAGGTGTAGGATTAGGCTGTGGCTTTTGGCTTTCTTATGAGTGTTGGTCGAGCGTGAGTTTCTCTGGATATCTGAGATTATGGTTCACCACGAGCAGATACCGAGTTCTGTGGACCCGAGTTCAGTTTTTTTTCAGATCGGATTTTTTCAGGGTGACAGCGAATCTTGGAATTGCCGATACCGCTCGAACATGATGTAGCAAAACGATTCTATGATAAATACCAGATATCAAAATCCCAAACTATGACGTCGCTTCTTCCAGTTTTATTGTTTGAGATTTCGAAACCTAATTAGCTAAACGTACAGAGTTGATGGTTCCGCGTTGATGCTATACCTCGATACGTTTTCTTGACAATTTCATAACTTAAACACCATGAAGCTTAGATGGCGCCTCTTCATATATGGCAACACTTGTTCTAATTTTTTCCTGGTATTATAATTGACATTCATGGATTTGTTCCGGTTCGTGCATTCCTTCAGTCAAAGTTTGACATTCCGCTTTGGTTCCTCAGATATTGCATACTAAATGAGCGCACTTTTCCTGGAATTTCAGGGCAGTTACGCTGAAGCATCTAAAGTGTCTAGAGTGTTCACAGCTCATCGCCATATGTCGTTGACGACCCATGTGGTTACCAAACAGGTTTGCTTTCTTGCCATATGTATTCTGGCAGGAAGGCAGTGAGCCAAATGGTCATCAGACCGACCAAACATCGTCGATGTAGAGACCCGAATCTTCCGAACTGTTCAAGAACCACAACAATCACTGTTACGCAGTTACGAGCTTTATTCACTGGAAAGAAATCTTTCGCTTATGGTCAAAAATGCTGGATTATACTGAGCACATATAACATTTTTGTTAGAACTTTAAATAAAACCCAACTAAAATAAGGTGAATTCTTTACGAAGTAGGATAAAATTAATTCACAAACCGTGTGTTTATAATAGAACATTTCAATTTCATGATAAATTTATGAACACTGAAAGCACCACTTGAAAATTTTTCATTGCTAATATACTTCGTATCCGTTAGAACGACTAAGCACTTAGTAACTGCCACGACCGACTTTCTATTAACCTCGGCATTGATCAAGTGATTTTCTTCGCATTTTTGTTGAGCAAACGCGAGGTGTTACTATTCTTTGTTCACGATTAAGCTGACGTTTCGGCGAATTTCGCCTTCCTCAGAGCCTGGAAAGGTCAAGTTGATAGCAACTCACCCGGCCAAACGCCTCCATAACCAAACAAAGAAACTCCAAACCAAGTTTTCAATCACTTTGAACACAGCTCTGCACACTCACCGCTTTCTATGAGGTTTCCACTAAGTATGTCACGTAGAGACCAACCGCACAGAAATCACGTGGAAGTATAATGTGCCCCTCACATCAGAAAAGCAGTTTTATATACTGCCCTATATCACGCGTGATAATGAGGCATTCTTCCCTGCGGTTCATTTTCGGATTTTAAGCACTTAGTGATTGCGTAGGTATGTAAATAGACCGTTTTCACATAGGAATGGGAATGAGAGCACAGCACGATTTCCATTACAGTGTTAATTTGCTGGTCGTGCAAAATTTTCTTCATCCTTAACCCCTATGTAGCTGCGCTAAGGTCTTTCACAATAATGACGAGAAGTCCAATTTTAATTGACGACAAGTTGATGGATGGTCATCTCGGTAAATCTTGCGAATATATGTCATTGTTCACCGATAAATGAAAAGCAGTTCTCTTACGTTCTTTCTGGGTAAGCTATAGCGAAACGGAAGATACACAAGAACTCTCACAGGCTACTTAAATTTCAGGTTATACGAGCACGGAAAGCAAAAGCTGATGCAGCTGGTGGTGTAGAGAAACTTCTCCTGCAAGAATCAGCCGAAGGTAATACAAAGAAACCAAAAGAACACTGAAAAATAGTTTAAGAAACAATTATAATGTATTTAAGAAGCTGTAATGCTCTTTGCTCTTGGCGTTGGCCAATCGCTAAGGTATGTGCCATGCAGTCGACTTCATTAGGCACCATCAGATGTGGCTGAATGCATATCTGGTTGTGCAATGAATGGCGGTAGCCTACCGATGAATCGACTCAGTGTTGCCGTCCTTCCAGACAAATCTGGTACCAATTTGCAGATCCCGGAAGGATGGATGGCTTGGTGAACCTAGGGCGCGAGATCGAACCTATGTGCATTGCAAAGCACCTCTAATCGATGCACTACACCCGTCCCTGAAAAGCCATAAAGTGCCTGAAATATGCGGCAAACCAGAGCTCACGTTTATTAGTAGCTATTTAGTGAACTATTTAGGACGATACAACCTATCTATGACTCATTCATGATCGAAAATCTATTTTCACATTACGTTTCTCGTTAATTTTTATTGTGCAGACGGATAATTTTGGTATCTAAGTTACCAAATAACATGCATTTCGCCCAGCAGGGCACAGTGCTGTCCCTGGCCCCGTCATCGGTCTCTGTGATTGCCATGGTCACCACAAAAATCTTGACTTTTTGTTCTGTTTACAGCTTTATAATTCTGTTTAAAAAGTTAGAATAAATTTCCTAGCAGAACCAAATTCACTTTTCAAATGACAGTGGCCACGTCTCCGTTGAAGTGGGCCAACTTTCATATTCTCACATACTTTCAAGTGTACCTTATATAGTGAGATATCTCATTAGAACATTGGCTTGGCCATACAGTTATGTCGCTTCTGTGGCGTTTTGCTACAACAGTGCAATAGTTTCGTGTTCACACTGTTGAACAGCAACGTTAGTCTTCGGTAAAAGCAGTCGAGAGTTTGAAAACCATCTCAGGCTCCCAGTTTTGCTCATATCTCTGCATCCTTTTAGTTATATATATATATATATATATATGTATATGGAACTAAATATACGTATATAGTATACATACATTTATACATAAAAGATTAATAAGGATAAAGCTCTCCGCGTTGGTCAATCTTTGAGGGACTCGCCATGCATTCGACTTCATTAAGCATCGTTTGGAAGTGATTCAATGCATATCAGGACTTTACAATGACTCAACGTGGTCGACCGATGTATCGAGCCGGTGCTGCTGTCTTTCCAGAGAAATCTGGTATAAATTTGCCGACCTCAGAAGGATGGAGGTTTTGGTGAGCAGCCCTACACCCAGGAACATCTCCCAATGATACGGTAGACGGTTGCGAGGATATATACGTATGCATAAAATAGCATATTATATTATTATATGTATGTACATTGTCACATTATATTATTATACTGTACATATATACCATATACATCACATTATATGTATAAATAATGGGATAATATGGGGTTGAGCAGAAGAAAACGAGCGGTTTGGAGAGCTTTCAAGAGCATCGAGGATGTAGTGAAAAGAACAATGAACAGTAAGCCCGTGCCCACCTTTTCGACTCAGCGGTATTTCCTGCCCTAACGTATGCGTCAGAAAACTGTCAACCTGCGAAAACAGGATGAAAGTTCACTCAGCGTTATCGAACGCGCAATCGAAAGGACGATGCCAGGAGTATCCCGTTTCACACAATTAAGGTAAGGAATCTAAAGCTTCGACCTGCGTCAACGATCAAAAGTCAAAGATGCCGTTCTGTACGCCATACAGTCGAACATAAGATGGACCGGACACGTAATGCGTATGAACGGCAACCGATAAACAAGAGCCATTAGCGACTGGATTCCTCGGGATGTTAAACGCACTGCAGGAAGACCACCGATCCAATGGTCAGAGCCTTAACGAACAGCCTAGAAGAAAGATATGATACTCGACAAGTCCCTAGAGCGAGTAGAACCCACTGGCTGCTCTTGCACGCGACAGAGGAAAATGGAAGATTTACTGGCGCCCACTTGAGTCACTCGATGATCAACGGAACTACAGGTGATGTATATATATATATATATATATATATA